ATCTCAGTTGTCTCGCCAGTGACACATGCTTATTACAGCTGCTGAAATGGTACGAACCAAAGCGGATGTAAGGCGATACGATTTATCTTCTAGTTCCTCGAGGAATAATTCAGCTGTTGAAGGTATTTCGTCTATGTTATAATTACTATTACATTGAAACTGTGTAGCAACTTTTATTAGCTTGCTTGGGTTGCTCCTTTTAGTGGGTCGTAGAATGCAACTTTGCAATGGGTACTGTATCCTAAAAAATTATTAAAAGAAAACTTATTTTTAATGAGTCATCAAGCAAGAATTACGGGTATTTCCGTACATTCATATGTTGTGCAAAAGGTTCCTAGAAAAACTTTTGGCTCATATAAGGTTTGCTTTTATCTTTATTTTTTTTTTATTTGTGATGGTTTCAGACTTTGTACTACCTCTAATACACCATCAAAATATTTCTCCAAAACCGAGGTTGGATTTTGAATCATGAGTTTACTTCAGTACAAAGGTAAAAGCAAAAAAGGATGGTGTCTTGGAGCGGTCACTGACAGTTTTCTCTCTCAACTATTAAATTTTGTTAACAATTAAGCAAACTTTTTCCTAATGTCAAATTGGCAGTTTTTTTTTTTTTTTTTTTTTTTTTTTCAGGACGTGAAGAAGATTGGAAAAAGATAATCAATGAATCTGAAGGAGGTTTGAATCGCAGTGGTGGGCATCCTCGATATGGTCATAAAGCTGTGCGCGATTCAAGGAAGCGTTCTCGACGCTATAGGTATGTTTTTATCTTTTAAATCTACTTTGTGAAATGAAAGGCGATTCATGTCCCAGTTCACAAGTAATGGTTGGACTTAAAAAGTTGAAATTTCAGACCAGGCATAAGAGCGCTTAAAGAAATTCGTAAATATCAAAAATCGACAATGTTGTTGATTAGAAAACTGCCATTTGCTCGTCTTGTTAAGGAAATTGCAAATGAAATGTCTGATTCTTCTATTGGGTATCGTTTTGCATTGGAAGCAATCGCTGCAGTTCAAGAGGTTCTTTACATCTTCTAGATTAATTTCTAATAAGATGTTTTCCATCTTGATGACCTCAAGGATTCTTAGAAACTTATGTAAATAGTACATCTAAAAAGAATTTACTTGTACTTCTCTGTTAAGAATAGATAACTCCTTCTGTTTAGAATAGGAGTTGATAACGTTAGGTTTAACGGACATGAAAACATTTCACTAAACAATGTACTAAATTATATAATGAATTCAAATAACTGCTCCATTCACATATAAACGTTATGTGTTTTTCAACTCATAAACAACGCTCTGTTGTGCTGAATGTACAACGGACCGTTTTCAAAAAAAAAAAAAAAAAAAAAAATTGTCCAGTTTAGTAAGCACTAACCAAGTTAGCCTGTTTTTGGATATTTGTCACATATAGGTTATTTAGTAGTATTACTTTTCATATTCATCCTTTTGTCCGAAATGAAATATATTTAGATTATTTAGGAGCATCCAAATCACCCTTGTTTTGTTTACTGTGAATTTTGCTGAGAAGCTTATGGGTAGCTGTCGTTTTTTCAAAATGAGATGCAAATAACTTATCGATCTTGTTCTTATTTCAAATATATGAAGAAAAAAGTTTGGAAGCATCGATAGCAAGGAAGAACATGTGGATGATGAAGTTGTCAGTATGAATTTGCTTTGTAAAGATGATTATTTTTCATTTCAGGCAGCAGAAGCTTTCATGGTTCAATTTTTTGAAAACGCTCTGTTGTGCAGCCAGCACGCTAAACGAATAACAGTAATGCAACGTGATGTCCAGCTTGTTCGTCGGCTATTCAATATTTGAAAACAAAAAAAGCAAACGACGTTTGAGAGTGATATTGAGTGTTTAAAAAAGTGTCGTATGATTTTCCGTACGTATGAAGACATCCCCTAATTTGTTTTCATGGTCTAATAAGTCTTTATCATTAAATTGTTACTTTAATTTTCACTGTGCATTGCCAGCCTTGCGGTCTATATAGTTTAAAATATATTCATATCTCCTGTCTCTTCTTTTATGTCAGAGATATCACCAACTAACTTCATTTTTAGCTACTTAAACATTCCTTAAACATTAGTTATTTAGTGCGGGGGCAGTGCAAAGGCAGCAAAAAATTATGTCTTAAAAGGGTGAAATGTCAAAGGATCATAAATCATCTGAAATGTTTAAAAATTATGTTTATTATATAATATATAGCATTTCTCAGCTGCAAGATGTTTTTTTTTTCCCTTTTTCTATGATTTTCATTTTTTTTCTGCATCAAGGGTGAAGTGTTCGTTTGTAAATTTTGCTTTTAAAACTGATATAAAGGTAGGAAAATGATAAGAAACTTCGAGGAACTGACAAGGGCAAGAACCGAAGAAAGAAGACCATGAGTGGATTAACCTGAGTTTTGTCCTTTCCAGAAGTATTTTAGTGCCACTTTATGTTGTTTTTTCTAATATTTCATTTAATCGGCTTGTCGCCAACATGATAATTAGTCTTTGTTGCCCACCTGTACTTACGTCAGCAATTATTACTGCCAATTTGATTGATTTATTCATGATTTAGAAATTTTGTGTTTTCTATTTCTTACGTTACATTTTGGTCCTTTGATTTTGTATTCCGATTAAGAATAACACTTTTCATATTGTCTTCTTTGGTAGTGTCGTTTGGTCTCTTTCTTTTAAATTGTGCGAATGTTATATGATAGTTGAAAAGTAAACACAAAACATTTGATAGTAAAACACAAACGTTTTCATCAGAACAAAGCAAATAAGATGTGTGGGGGGAATTCGAAATGAAGCAAAGTTTCAGAAGTTTGCTTGAATGTGTCCATACTTCTGCTTCGCAGTGTTCTTTTTTTTAAATTTTCCCCTGCATAATATAGATATAAGATGACTGGCTAGTTTGTTGTCGAGATTGTTATTGAATTTATTTTCTGTTCATTCGTATGACCGCAAGGTTTTATTGAAAAATAATTTTTTTTAAAATTACGATGCAGTGCCAACTGAATGTGACCACAGACATTTGGGAGTTGCGTGTTTGTGTGTATTTTATCACTCTTCAAATATCTGTGATCAATTTGAACATTGGAAGGTCAATTAACTTAATCTTATCATTGAAAAAGTTAACTTTACTCAATATCTTATATTGTTTCATTTTTAAATTTGCTATTGTTTCGTCAGGAAAAAATTCCGAACAAAATTTTGGCAAAAAATTTAAACTTATATAAATAATGAATTCAGGTGAGTATTGTAAAGCGACCAGTATGATCAATTTTTTTCAAAGGTCCTTAAATATTATTAAAAAACGAAATGAAAAATTAAGTTGAAACACTAGCCTTTGAATTGTTAGCGTAAAGCTTAGAGAGTGTTCTGACGACAAATGATTTATTTCAGGTACGCTCCAATTTGTTTGTGAGACTTTCACTTCTGCCAGGAAGTTGCTGTGTAATAACACATTTCGTTCTCACATGTGTTTGTGAGCAGAATTTTTTCTAACCAGTTTATTTTTCTTTTTACTTCTGCTTCAGAAATATAATTAAAAGCAGTATTTTAAGTTTCGTGAAAAGAAGTATCGCTGAAAGTAATGTATTTGAATGCTGATATGACCATATTTGATCATGGTCAAGCAGAAACGTTGAAAAGAAAAAGTGTTTGTTATCTGTTGATTTATTATCATTATCTGTTAATTCCAATAAACCAGGTTATCTCCAGCGCGCCTTTATTTATTTCTGGGACGGAGAAATAAATAGAATTGCCGAAGGAATAATGTGCAAGTTACTGGCTGCTCGTTCCATGAATTTGGCACTTCGATTATTCACACGTCTGGGTGTCAAATTTTAGTTTGTATAATCGAAATAAAATTTATTCAAAAATTGTCAATGCAAAGAGATAAATGGACAAACATTTTATGACCCCTATAATATGAAAAAGCTATTCAGATTTTTTGAATTTCTTTTCAAGACTTAAAATTTTTCAAAAATTACAATATTTGTGATAAGCCATTTCTAGATCTGGGAAAAAGATAACACACCTAAGGTATTAATTCATATTCTTCATCTATTTGTTTAAGAAAGTAGAAACTGCACAGTTTATTGTTGGACTTTGATTCATGAAGTGAAGTGAACACTGCTCTATTGTGAGTCAAAATTTCCTTTTCTAGAGAAAAATAATACTAACATATCGTTCTCTAATATTATAATCTGTATTCCACATTTTTCTGGAAGTGTATTTTGATTTTTATTTTCTCAATGTGTTGACTTTGAATTAATTGTAATGGAAACTTGTTAAATACTTCATTATGACATAATGTAAGGCATGGAAGAGTTCGGGTTGAATGTTCAATGGACAGATCATTAACATAGTTCATTTCCTAGATATTCCCCATATCCTTTACAAAAATTTTGGAAGTCTGTTACACACACTGCTGAAAATTCAAAGATTTTGGAGTAATGTCAAACATTTGCATCATGAGCAAGATGGATGACGTCGCGATGTTACAAAATCGGAGTATATTTACATGCAGATTACATGCGTACTTTATTTTGTTCTTCACATCACCACGTTGTGTTGGAGTTGTTAATATAAAACTGAAAAATGGTATTTTATTCGTTTAAATATATGCGTACGTTTGTGTGTGCAAAAATTGTGTTTTTGTCATGTCAAATAAAACGTGATTTTGTTATCCATGCTTTTGGGTTATAATTCTGCTGCCTTCCCTCTAATGATGTAATGATTAAAATTCCTTATGGGAATGACTTATCAAATTGCTGCAAGACTTTCAGACAAATAATGAGAGGATTTTAAGAGAAAAATAGATCATTTGCCCTGAGAGAACAGAAAAAGAGTGGCTTTTATCTTTTCTTTATGTCATCGTTCTTATTTTGGTAACTGTCTGTTTTAATAATTGCTGTTTTTTGTCATGAAACATGCAACTGAGCGTGCATTGAGAATGCAAGCACCATTAAATTGAACAATCGAAATTCAGCGTGTTGTGCGATGAGAAATGAAAAGGATTTGGCAGCAGATGGAGTTTTAATTAGGGGTAGCAGTTCGAAAACGAACAGCGGTCTACCAATATCTCCACCAGATGGTTCGATTTCTATGAAAATTTATTTTATTGTTTTTCTATAACTAAATCTTATTACGAACTTATTTCCCACAATTTATTCTCCACGAATTTATTTGTTACAGCTACATAGTCAGAGCACTATTTGCTTTAATATTTTCCGATCTACTAAATTAAATACCAAGAATTGCAGGTGGGTATGGGTGGGTTATCGTACTTGCTTCATTTTTTGCCAATGTTATTGTGGATGGAATTATTTATTCGATTGGCGAAACACTTGTTGAGATTTGGGAGCAGGATTTTAGAACAACATCTATGCAAGCATCTATTGTGCAGTCATTACTTACTGGATTTTACTTTCTTGCAGGTGTCTCCTTCTTTTATGACCATTTTTTTCTTGACATTAGCAGGAAACACAAACCACTAACACAGCATTTATTCGCAACGGCTTGGACTAAGATGATGATTGCTTTTCGAAAAGCTTTTTTCATCATAGATGTAATAATGAATATCCAGAAAGTAAAATACCAAGAATTGCAGGTGGGTATGGGTGGGTTATCGTACTTGCTTCATTTTTTGCCAATGTTATTGTGGATGGAATTATTTATTCGATTTTATTTCTTTTGTTGACATTCATAATCGTATTAATTGCTTTTAAGGTCCGATGGCAAGTGGGCTTACAAATTTATTTGGATGTCGCTTGGTTGTCATAGCTGGTTCTATTACAACATTTGTTGGTTTCATTTTATCTTCCATCGTACCAACACTTTCATTGCTTTACATCACGTTCGGTATTATTGGAGGTAAAATATAGCACTTCATAGAAAAAATAAAAAATATTCTAGAAATGAAACAAGCGAGTCTTTGTTATGAAAAACTTCAAATTTTAACTTGTTTTTTAACTTTGCCTGATCAATAATTTCAAATTTATGAGGAAGAATTTTGCATGATATTAATTCATAGATTTACCACAACCTTGGAACACAATTTTCGGAAATTTGTTGACATTTGATTGCTGCCTATATGCAAATCAAATAAATCGATTGTAGTCGAGTTTTTTACGGTCGACGAATTCAGGAATTGGCTTTGGACTTGTTTATTTGCCATCAATATTGGTTGTGAATCAGTACTTTGAGAAACGAAGAGCCCTTGCTATGGGAATAGCTGTATGTGGTTCAGGTATTGGTACCACCGTATTTTCACAGGTTTGTCATCTTAATAAAGAACTGCAGTATCATTTAACTTAATTTCCATTCACCGTATTAAAGCTTGCTTTCAGACTATCAAAAGATTAAATTTTCCTGGAACTCGATAGTCATTTTCAGTTTCGTATACATTTCAGTTATTTCCATTTTTACTAGAAGTTTGTGAAAACAATTGGAGGCATTTTCTTGTTTATGCAGCATTTATTACACTTCTGTCTGTCTTATGTGGTTTGTGTTATCGAAAAATACCGTTAGAAATACCGTCGGAAGATAATGAGGTTTGTGTACTTAGCATTTGTTGATAAATAATACAAAATAATTTTATAAATAGTATAAAATTATTTTCTTTTCAATTTTGAAATGGAAATTAAATTATAAGTTGAGATCGTAAATTGATGTGTTAATATCTTTTGTTGGGCAATACATGGACAACATCCCATGCAGACAACCGACTAACAGCAACTGGATCTTATTCATAATCCTAAACCAAATTCTAATTCACAAAAAATTTAGCGATAATGACGATTGAAATTAATAATATCCTCTTGACCTATTACTGTGTGCTTTTTAAAGTTTTAAAGGTTTTGAAGGTTGAAAGGATTCATCAGTTATCCTTGGGACATTGGTTAACTAAGAAAGGGCCATTCACGTTAAGATATTGTTTGCTGAGATATATAAATTCAAAAATTTTTGAAACATCATCCAGAAACTGAGAAGCTTCATGGAACTGTCGATCGAAATTTAATCTAATAATTTATACATGTAATAATTTGGGAAAGCTAGTAATAATTGTTATTAATGACTTACCAAAGAATGTGAATTTTTTTGTCAAGGATAATCCAAATCAGATATTTAAATGAAACACTGAATTGTGTTCTGTCTTTATGAAGGTTGAGTTTGGTTTCTTTTTTTTTCTTTGTATTTTAAACAATTAACCTTTTATTTTACTGGATTAATATTTGAAACAGAATTTTAAACCGACTTATTCCGTTAAATAGCTATCCAGGCTCTTATTTCATTTCGCAGTCTAAAATACATATCAAGAATCGGCCTTAAATTACAAATCGAATGTGAAAATGTTTCTTTCCGGGAAGTTTTGTCATATAAAAACCAACTGAATGCATGTAACAATGGAATTTATTACTAGATTCAAGTAAATGTGATCTAATGAAGCCAAATGTTTATATTTTAGTTAATCGATATGTTAACATTTCAAAAATACTGTTCATAAATTTAAGTGATTTATTTTAATACATGCAAATAGGTACAGTGACAATAGGTACTGAAAGAAAGCTTATAAAAGTTCTGAACGAACTATATTATGATGTGTACTAAAGTGCTGTACTAAAGCTGAAGAACTAAAATAAATAAACTGAAGAACTGTTTTTCTGTGAATTCTTGTACTTAATTAGTAGACTAACAGTTCATACACAAATGATAACGCAAATGATTATCAATTTTTCTCTTTGCTTTCGATTATTTAGGGAAACTTAAAATTTGTTTGCATTTTTCTGTTTTTTATGTATTTATTAAAAGTATCTAAAGTTGTGGTACTAATATGATGGAATAAATTTCTCTGTTAAGGATAAAAGAATGAAATCTGATTCTGATTCGTCCTATGAAGGAAATGATGGACATGACAGTTTGTCTTCACAGCTCACTACCAACCATTCAATATCTATGAGTAGTCTGCAAGGAAAAGTGTTTCGTTAGTATTCCTCTTTTTTTTTTTTTTTTTTTTTTCTGTTATTATAAATAAGAAACTCGTTAACTTGAGAATGCAACATTTAGTTAGAAATCCAGTGTCTCCATATTTCCTGTAATTAAAGTGATTAAGCTTATGAAAGAAATTTTATAGAAATCTTACATTTTTAAAAGTTATTGATTAAATTGGCAAAGTTTTTCTACAGAGAACTCTACATTCTTCTACCATCGAATTCTGTCTAGAAAGATCCATTGGTTAATGCATTTAGTCTGCTTTGAATTCATCCTTTCATTTATTTTGCACTTATAAAATTTGCAGAAGATGAAGCCGAAGAAATGACTGGTAATTTAATGATGATTTCAAGAACGACGACACAAGTACCGTCGCAAAAATCTAGAAAGGCATTTCCTTTACAAAACGTGAGTCCCAGTTACACCATGCACAATAAAGCAAAAATTTATTTGCAATAGGAAGTTTTATTTGGTCACTGTAAAAACTTTTCACTGACTCTTAATATTAGTTATACTGCTTAAATTACTCTACGGTCAAGTATTTACGTACAACACTTTGATTATAAAGTATGTCGTTCACATGCTCTTTTTCTAATTTCGATAATGGAGTAATGAATTAAATGGATTCTCAGATTTTGCGTTCAATGATTGATACAAGTTTGCTGTCAGATCCGAGCTTTATATTGATTGCAATCACCGCTTTTCTGACACTTTGTTGTCTCTTTGTTCCGTTCATTTTTCTTGGCAAGCAGGCTCGTTTTTTTATGTTATAAAATTCTATATTAAAAACAATTATGTTTTATTTTATCACAATATATTTTTTTTTTTCTTTTGAAGAGTCTGACATATGCAACAGGAGTTTTCAGGCAATTAAAGTAGGTGCGACTTCAAGCCAGCAATCATATTTATTATTTGTTATAGGGCTTGTTAATATCTTTGGACGAATATTATGCGGGTTCGTTTATTCATTTGTTTCTTTTATGTATTTCTTCATTTACTGATTTATCCATTTATTTACTCCTTCTGTTCGCGTATTGCTTATTTGTCTGACAAATGTGCATTTATTGTAGGCTAATATCGGATTTACCAAACGTAGACCCGTTATTTATTCATAATCTGGGCATAATCATTGGCGGTCTAGCAACTTGCATCGTACCGTTACTAACACAATATTGGATGTATGTAGTATATACAATACCGTTTGCATGGAGTGTTGGTATGAACTCATTCTTAAGCTTCTAATCTTAGAGCTAAAAATTTGTAATGTAATAATGAGAAAATGTAGTACGTTAAGCACTACCATTCATTTCTTTTCACAGTACAAACTTAAATTAAATGAATCAGAATAAGCTTGCAGCATGTTTCTCATCACTTCGTGCCATTATTTGTATTGAATTACTCGGTTTGGAAAAGCTTTCTAATGCTTTTGGGATGATGATGCTCTCTATGGGCATTGCTGCTTTAATTGGTCCACCACTTGCTGGTAAATATCATTAAAATTTCTGGCAGTAGTAGTAAAATGAAAAGGCCAAAAAAGTCCAAAGTAACTAAGATTATAGATGAATCGGAAAATAGAGTTAGACGATTTACATTCCAAAAGACTATGGATAGATAAAAGAGTACAGAGATTTTCAGAGTTTATTTTATGAGTAATGAATTGGCGCAAATTGCTTTCAAAATATATCGCAATAAAGTTATTGCAGCGCTATTTAAAGATATAAGCGGGAATTTCGATCTGTCATTTTACGTAATGGGTTCATTGCTAACACTGAGTGGAGTGCTTTGCATACCACTTCGAATAGTCAAATCACGCATACCAAATCCAAGATTGCCGAGAAATACCAGACAATCAGGGCTGCAGTCCATGAATATAACAGAACGATTTTGAAAAATTCCGTGGGAATTGTTGTGACACTATAACGAATGCTTTTTTATTGCTTCTGCAACGTTATATTGTCTATTGCTTTTTAGGAACTAATTTTCCCTAACGAAAAAAAACTGAAAAGTAAGACTGAAATTTTTCAAAAAACAAGAAGAAATAACTACCTTCACTTCTCTCACTTTAGTATCTTTTGCTCGACTCACAAAAATAACAGTGTCCAGTATTTGTAGATTTAGAAATCTTTAGATAGCGGTGAAGTCAATTCCAGTTACAATTTATTCGTTTCCGGTGCAATAAAATTGTGTATCTAACGGCAATTTTGTAACTTCATTATAGTTAGGCAACAGCACATGTTAATGTCATTAAAAGACGAGGACAGGGAGAGAGAGAAGTCGATGGATAGCATTTACATCACCTGGGTAATTTCTTGAATACATTAAAAAAACTACACTATTATTATTTGGTTTCGTGATCCATTATAACTCTCAGTTTTTCATGTTTAGAAGAATTCAGTTAAGTTCAAACTCACTGATTAAATTTTCCGGCACCTAAAGCATAGTAAGGTTTTTGGAAGTATCACCCAAAAATCCAGAGACAACATTTAATGAATTATATCTGCGTGATGCAACTCATCATTCAGAAAAAGAATGAGTTAACTTTTGTTGAACATATCATCTGTGGCAATCAAATTTGAGTCTATCCAATTCAGCATTAAAGAGTTCGAGAATTTGCTTACAAGATTGACAGTAAACAATTCTTTCATACACTGAGCAGAATGAAGGATTTATGTGAGAAGAATAACACAGTCAATACAAACATAAATTCGGGTTGAATACAAACATAAACTCGGATTGAATAGTGCCAAATTACAACCTTATAGATTTCATTGATGGAACTGGGATATTTATAATTTTTCGAGCTAAATCAACAAAACAACAAAACAGCGTTTAGGAGAGTATGAAGGGTAAATAAAATCCGGAGTATTTTCTCGATTTTCTGCATCCTGGAACATCTGGATATTTCTTTTCCACCGATAGAATGATTATATTTATAAGTTATTGCCACACGGTAAATAATTAATGCCAACGTTTCTGCTAGCATTATAGTAGCCATTTTTGCTGCAATATTTTGGATTTTAAAGCAGAACAATCATATTTAGAAAATTATAAGTGGAATCTCATGGTGTTTTTATAACGCTTGCTATAATACAATCCATTCTCATTTCTTCAAAAAAGTGGAATGAGATTGTACAACACAACATACCACAAAAAGGAGTATTTTTCTGGTCAGGTGGTAACCTCTTCAGCATCTGAGTGTAATTCAGAATCTGCACGGCAAAACATAACAGAAGCCATATAATGGAACTGGGAGGAGATACGACTGTTCCTACCATAAAAGTTATCCTGAAATTAGAAGACAAAAGTGCTACCTATGATACTTACAATTGACTGCATTAACTTACACAGCTGAAACTTCAAATATAATTGTATTTATTTTGATTTCCAAATTCCTGTGTCCGAGGAAGTTCATAAAAATCCCGTACTAAAGTTGAGGTTTCCGACAGGAAGAATGCAATAATATCATCAATAACTGTGTCTGGAACTTGATGCCATCATTAGCAGTTTCAAAATTTTTAAATGGAATCGAGTTAATCACAGTGTCAAAAACAAACGAAAATTACTGAATCTCTGATAAAATAAAAAATTCTACAAGAAATAAAAAGACTAACGTTGCCAAACAAAATAATGGTAAAGCGATTGTCACCGAATAGTAATAAACGATTCTGCGAAATTTTATCTCAAAACGTATTATTGAGCGCATCATTTCAGGTCGTTCTCTTAAATAATATAAATAAAAAATGTCATTTCTGTTTGAAATAAAAACTCTTTTGTGAATATAAGTAGAAATTAACTTAAAAAAAAAGAAATATGGAACCGACGCGCTTTCATTGGCAGTAATTTTGCCCAGTGGAAGGATAAAGAGCAGCGCTGCGGATAGATTCATAACTTCAAATTCACCAGATCGGATGGTCCGCAGTTCATTTATCAAACTACCGAATATATCCGATTTCTTTGTTAATGATGTCCATCTTGAGAATTTCAATCTGTAAGTTTTTTTATCTGTTACTGAAATAGTAATTTATTCTACACTGAATCAGCTGCCAACCGAATTAATATGAATACTGAAATGAATCTTGCAATTTGTTCAAAACCCCATTTGGGAACTAATTTCTTAAAATTAGTAATGGAATAAAAATATATTTCCTCTAGGAATGGATTCGAACGAAGTATGCTTTCCTGGCTGTGCAACATAATTACATTTCACAACTTCAAAGATCATCGTTAAAGTAAAGCAGCACCTGGACAATGGTAGTGGTGTGAACATAGTTAATAAACAACTGTGAACATCATTTGGATATGCACTGAAATCCAAAGAACATGTTGAGCGAATTGTTAGCATCACCTAAAACGATATGCTTTAAAATGTACTTTTGATTTAAGTGCTTTCACTAGTGTACGAAGCTTTTAAGTTTCTTATATATGTCATAGGAAAAGAAATCTTAATAGAATTTTCGACCTTCAATTTTTCGACTGAAGAGAACCATTGGTATCACTTAACCTTCGATAAATACTCTGATAAAAATATTAAATGTCCAGAAATCGATTTTTTTACCTGTGCATAAACTGCTCCATTACTGATCAGTGTTACTTGGGTATTGAAATATTGCATTGCCTGGTCATTCCTCAGTTTCCTGTAATTCAACTCTTAATATATTCATAGTTTAGAAAAAAAACAGAACAGATCAACACAGTCTGTATTTGATTCGTAACTGTTGACGTTCAGTTCGCATGCTTTAAAAAGCACATAAGAATAATAAGGAAAAACAGTTAATACGGATCTTAATACATTATTTTTCAAAAAAAGGTATACTTAAATTTCAGTAAAATGAACTGCAGGGAACCACATTCTTGGTAAATCACTTTTTTGTCGTACGATTTTGCCAACATTACCGTAATCTCGCGGTTCCCAAACAATTCTTTTATCAGTCCAGTGCTACAAAATCCATCAAATTTTAGAAACTTTACTGACTGAGAGTTGCGGAAAGCAAGAAAAATTCAAACTTACAAACAACATGCTACAATGCATATCGATCAACTGCTGCTTTTGATTCTGAAGAAGATAAAACATGTATTTAAATGTAATGGAAAACTAATAAATATGTTTTAAAATGATAAAATAAAATATGTTAGCAATGAAACAAACAAGTTGTTCGATGTGGTCAATAAACATGAAGGGTAAGACAATAGTTGGTGACTCCGAGGGCGAAGAATAATCATAGCTTTCCTTTTTGAATATTTTTTTCAGCAGTATTTTCTCATTTTCAGCCATTTTCTGCAAGTTTCATAAAAATTCTTTTTAAAAACATATTTGATCAAGCGTAAATATAAACCTGAAAAGTTTTTAATTAAAAATCCTATCTAAATTAATTAAGAAGTCATACCTGAATGGTTGTGATTTGTTGGCTAAATGTCGATAAGAACAGCAGGTATAGAAAGATTGATATGGAAGTCATATCTTATTGCATAAACTATGCACACAGATTGTGAATTGTTAATTCAACGCTTACTGAGAGCGTTGTAAGTTAACAATCTCGTATTTAATCTTAAATTTCCAAATTTTCAGAAGAAAGTCAGAACCCTATTTGGAAGTGGTTGGGGTTTTTCGTCATCGAAACTAAACATTTGTTGTGAACTTAAATCTTCGTAAAGTACAATGAGTGAAGTCATATTTTAATGAAAATGAATTAAAAAATTTTTTGAAAATATTTGAATTTACAAACCAATGAATAGAATTACGATGTTATAATTTATAACTCGTAGATATGTGGAAACTGGGGTATTTCATTCTGTTTATATTTAAGCCATTCTATAATTTATAAACAGTCTCATATGATGTAGTATTGGAATTTTCACTACTTCCACAGTTTTTGATATTATTATACAATTCAAGTTATTAGGAATCACCATGATCTGAAATATTAGTGTTTTAATTTACTGAAAGGAAAAGTAAGGACAGAGATGGCAGTTTCCTTATTTTGAACATAAGTAATCCCGGATTCAGAATTTTATTTAAACTAAATTCAAGGATGATTTTTTGGTATGGAAAATATTGGTATGCGGAGCCACTTTTGTTTTCCGTAAATTATATTATTGAAAATACCTTCCCGTTAATTCCAACCTGAAGTTATTACATTTGTTTCTTAAAATCTTGTTTAATCCAGCCATTATAGATTAAGCTATTATTTAAGCATTCATGCCTCAACTGGCTTAGATCAGATAATTTACTTTTGGCTTGTTTGAAACTTTTCACAAAAAGCAGGTCTATTTTACCAGTTTTTTACTGCTTTGGTGCTACTAAGTTACTGACACACTTTTTTTATTACTCTGTGATGATCAGGTGGGATTTAATTAGACATTTGTGATCTACGTTAATAAAATCCGGGTCGAAGTACAAACATTTTTTATCTCATGCTATTCTTGTCGAAAAAACAATTATAATATGTCGAAATAAAACTACTAACTCATAAAACTAAACATTATTTTAATTGAATATTCTTTAGGGAAATATAAAACTGTTTCAAATTGTATCACATATAAGCAATCATTGATCTAACGCTCATCTTCCAGTTCTAACTAAACTTATCTGCACTATCTAGAATTTTTCATTTGTTAAGAAAGAGTACATTGTTTAATATGTTAAGCATTACTCCTTTGTTCTAAACCAAATCTGTTTGGAGTATCGAAATATTACAAAGGTTTGTCAATCATTCTTATGAGCAATTGACAATGTTGAGACTCACCTCTTACTGTATAAAGAGTAAAGGTCATCTGATAGACAGCTCTTTATTCACTTTAATCATGCATTTGTTGTTTGCCAATGCTTACTGTATAAGAAGTTAAACCTTTATCTAAAACAGTTTTTTAGCATGAACAAGCTACAAATTGACTAATTCCGCTTCACTTCATATTCCTAATTATTAGTATATTGCCAATATAGATCAGTGTTTGTGTATCATTGTTGTTAGCGAATAAAATTTTATATACCAACTTCAAACCACAACCAAGAAAGATTCCTTAACACAGACCTACCAAGTATATATCTGTATATTATAGGCAATGAAAGTAAACAACATATCAATTCATCTAGAAATGTTTTTCAGTGAGAAGAAATAATCGTATCTTGAATGGTGGTGTGCTTTCGTTACCAGCGCATTAGTAAACAATTCGTAATATAATGGTGCAGTTTAAGAGAGTACTGTACTCTTCCTTACTTTTTGTCCTTTCTGTCCATGGAAAATTGCAGTCTGTTTAAAAAAGTGATCCATAAAGCTTCATCAACACTAGTTGCAAGTTCTTTGTGATAAAACCTTATAATTTTCAAAAATTTTGATTTAGAATATATCTCTTCTGGCTTTTTTTTCAAAATTCTTTTGTTGAGCAAATCCCACTCTGTCTGTTTGTCGTTTTGCTTATTTAAATAGTCTCTTCTATTATTTGTTATGCAGTAAAACAAGACATATGACTCTTGTTTATTCAAATATCCACTATTTATCCAATCATTAGCTTTTTCGTCGCTTGGCGTAATTCATAATTGAAAAAAAAAGCGACAGAAAATTGACCTTCGGGTTCTACCTTGCTATGAATAAAGATAATTAGCGTGGAAATATCGTAGGTATAAACCACTACTTTCCGATATAATGTTGAACATTTCGAAAATGTATATGCCAAAATCTTATCGCTTGATTTAAGCGCATAAACAGCATTTGAACATAATGCTCGTCTCACAGGCATCATGATCTATACTTCAGATCCCAATAATACAACTAAGCCTCCAAGTTTAACGCATAATTCTACAATAAATGATACCAACGATAATAAAAAATAACAGTGATAAATAGACGTAAAAAATGATTAAAAAAAAAAATGCAGAAGGGCTAGTGAATTCTAGATTCAAAGTACTAAAATTCAAACGTAGACTGCTTCTCATATTCTTCCTAATCAAAAGAACACCAACCATTTCCAAAGCATGTTGCACCAAAGCTCGATGATGACCTTTTTCAACCTTGTTCTAGGAAGGAATTAGTCAAAGATGATTTAACCTTCGAATGTTTGACTTTTTAGGAATCCCACTTTTTGTTGCATTTGTCAGTACAACAGTATCAAGATGTATGGGGACCGTAGACTCAAATGATCGGATTCTATTCAGCTTGAAAATTACTCCGATCACTTTTCCGACACAACTACTTTCAGTGGAAGTGGTCGACTTAATTCATTTCGCAAATCCTCTAAATTGAGATCTCGTGAATGTTTACATGACTAAACAAATCTCATTTAAACCTTCTCACCCTCTCAACAACATTGACCTAACACTCCCTTCCTATCTTGCTAGAGAACTCCTCTACCCGTTCTCCCCACAAGTGCCATAGCAGGTACCACCCATGAGTCACTTGACTACACTCCATCTCGGTTGATACTTCCCTCAATGTACCTCGGCTACTTTAATCTTATTAGTACCACAAGCATTTGTTATAGCTCCTTATATTGGTTTTTAGCCTAGTTGCACCATTAGCCCTCTGTTTATTGTTAGCTGTGCTTTCCATTCAATTATTGCACTTCCATATGCGGCAATCAGTAAAAATGAATACACTTCTGACAAAGATGTTCAGCTTGCTGTGGATGGAACTGATCAAAGCGTACAAAAATAATTTGCCGAAATTGGAATACAAACTGACCTCTACCCCATTAATTTGTACAGTGCAGTGAAGGAAGTTCGACCGTAGAGTTTCCGAACATTTTTCACTTATAACGTAGGAGTAGTCGCTTCAAACTTCAAACAATTCGCAACGAATTGGTTCGCTTTCATCAATACTTGCTTCCTTAGAACAATAGATTTGAGGACAGCCCTTTCCTTATGCCTCTCACTTATGTTAGAGTTTGCAGACAACTGGCGTTGAAACAGCTCATGAGAAGACTAGGCCCATTATGATTTAAACCAAACATCAAAATACCAGAAACGTTGAATACTTAGTAAAGGTTTTGCATTTATGTCACATTAACCTGATCAATGTTCCTTACAACGCCAGCCTTTATGCTTTGTTTTAAAACACTCGCTAGTCAGAGGCTGCGATGGAATCAATTTAGATATGAAAACCACAAATGCGTATCAAAATAGAACCTTACGATTATGCACAATCGTCTTTTAGTAATCACCATATAAACCATAAAATTGATTACACGAAAATCTCACTTTTTGGTGAAACATTCTATAGAAATCCGAATGCAAATCAAGCCAAAATAGTGCACACAGAATGCGTTTACAAGTTCATAAAAATTACATACCAAGAATTAAGAAAATTCCACAAAATAATAAAAGGAAGCTGACACAACTCACGATGAGGTAAACAAAAGGTATACCTTCCTGGCGCCATCACAATAATGATGCCTTTACCTTGTCTGCTGAGCAAAAAGGGAAAATTACATTCTTTCATGCACTGAAAATGAATACAGCAGCGACGTTGCCGACATAAGTAACACCTAACATTCCATATTTAAAAATTATTGGAGAACTTGGACATATCCTCATAAGCCACACTGTTACTTTGTCATCCATAAAGTTTTCAAATTCAAAAGTGAAATGCTGGTTCAGCAAACTCGCAGCCTAACATCATATATATATTACAAAAACAGTGAAATTCTCCGAATTAAAATGGCTGAAGATTTTAACAGATTGTTGACAGCTACTGTCATAAAAATGATTTTTTGACAAGCCCATCAGTCGTTTCTAAAAGACAATAACAAATCAACTTGATCTAAGAAGAAATATGAAAGGTTTTCAATACAATCCTATGGAGATGCAGAAGATTCGAGATACATACCAGAAAAATTCCTTACTATCTATGCACATAGCATACAGATACACATTATTTTGTACGCTGAATACATGAAAAAAAAAACGTGATTTTGAGAGAGGAATAATAGAAAATCTCAAGTGAAGATGACTGGAAATTTGTATAGGGAACACTTTGTATAACCTGATACGAACCATGTTTCCCAAAAATGTTTTACCTTCTTTTTCTTCATGATACTATGCCTGCCGTTAGAAACTAAAATATAAGAGGTTACAATAACAAAATACGAACTCAGAACTCCAATTTTTGGTTACAACGAACTTGACGCATATCTTCTCAAAGCAAGAGATAAAATTTTTCCCCATACAAACTCAGTAAAATTTTTTTTTATAAACTCGAAAAACTCATTCCTCTATGCGTATTTTATTAAAAGAAACTAATTTCATGTCTTGATTTAGAACTAAACGTGTCCTGAAATCATTAGTATATTGACTTAGAGTGAAAAGAAGTTACCGGAGGCGCAGATGAGTCTCATGTTTGTTGAGGATCACAAGCAGTAATTGGAGTGTTAACCCCAAGAGGTGTACCACACGCTGCTGGTGGAGCAACGGATGAAGGAACTTGGCTTCCTGTATTTACACCCCATCCACCTATCGACGTTAATTCAAAATCTGGCATGTAGGCTGAAATATTCATATAAAACCTTACGATGTACATATAGTTTCAGGAAATTATTCTCTGAAATATATTTAGTCAAAATAAACAAGTTAATTTTCAGGAAATTTTAAAAAGTATAAACAGTTCTGAAGATAACCGCTTGAAATATATTAAATTAAATGCATTTAATAAAGTTAGAACGAATTCTGACCGAACTTACTACGCTAAGTTACCAATAATATAAGTAGGAAGCTTTAAAAGTAAAAAAAATTAAAAATTACTAAAAAAAAAAAAAAAGAAAAAACAAACTTTGAGGAGGTGGGGGTCCCCCAATTGCCGACATTGTGGTAGACATCTGATGATTCATACTAGGTAATGAGTTCTGCATAGCACTGGGATCGAACTGCGTATTTTCCACTCTTGAAATTGTTCTCTCGTCCTCTTCACCATATTCACCACCCATCATCGAAGGTTCACCCACTACCATAACATCCTGATACTGGAGTGGAAACTGTAACAATTAGATTGAAAATATATGTTTAAAATAATATGGTATGCATTGAGTCCAAATTCATTTGTATTTCACAGAATCCTAGCGTAATATAGGAAACTGCACAAACTACAACCTACACAAATGACACCAATGTCAACTAGGATTTCCCGAAATAATGAATGTGGAAAGAAAAACAAACATGCGAATTCATTGAAAAATTAGCAGCATTTGTTGATGGAGGTGAATTATTTTTCTTTTTAGCATTCGATGCTGTACTCGCACCAGTTGCAGTCTTCCTTGTTCGCTTCCGAGGTTTCTTGGAAGTCGGCTCCTCCACTGGTGTCGGTGGTAACACATGAGAAGGATTCATGCCACCTGTGTTAAAAAATGAAACGAAGAGTCGGACAGTAGGAGAAACAAGTGAAGATTAAACACTGTGCACTACAAATGCTCAACCACGAAAAAAGTTTCAAGTGAACAACTCACCAATTGCATTCATCGCCATTTGTTGTTGCTGTTGATACTGCTGCATCTTTGCATGAGCTTGGAACAAGGTTTGCTTCAAAGACTCTCTCGGTGGAATCTGCAGCCAATGCACATTATAGTTAAGTGATTCAGAACTAAAGAAACTAATAACAAAAAGTGAAGACACAGACTCCACGAATTTTCCTTGGAATACTAATCAAACAAACCACATTAATGATAAGTTCACAACAATTTAGTGAAAAAAGCTTACGTTGTGTGATTTACTTTGACTCATAAGCACCTGCATTGGTTCCAGGATGACACATAACTTCAAGTAATTTAGCGTTATTTGAGTCATGCCCGTCCGTGTTATATTCATTTTCAATTTCTCTTGTGTTTCACTATCTTGCAGCTACAATCAGATTATACAACTTCCTGTATTCACAAAAATATTCTATAAATCCAATAAGACACTGATCACACGATTCTGCAGTCACCAAAATACAATTAAACATAACATTTTATATCTACTAACACAATCATAAGAAATATAATGCTGCTCTAGTAACTTATCACATTATCCCTCGAAAAAATTAGGACTTTTCTCCAATAAACCAGAACATTTCTAATTAGAGGATAACCAATAAGACACGACATACCATGTTGACATCACGCAAAACAAATTCTTGACAATGCCTTAATTCAATGTTCCACTGTCGGATCCTGTAGCCATATGTATCATCAAACGCGAATTCGCACATCAATTTACAGTCAGTGTGCACCTAAATCAAATACAACACAAGTACGAAAAATATTGTAGATTTCTTCAATTAATATTGACAGTAAGCAAGCTGTTAGTAACGTCGTGCAATTATATTAGTTGCTTCTCACGTTTTGATACAAAGCATTGTAAACAAATGTCCACAGTTATACCGTTTGCTTGCGGGATATTCAGATTACGTGAGCTACTTTTTCCTTTTCTCTTTAAAAATTTAGAAGCTTATAAAATAAAACACTAACCTCGGACAGGACAGGTTTATCATGTTTTGACACAAGAAGAACATTGTCGCAGTCTAGCACAACTGTCCACGGCCCACCTGCCTGCTCACGAGAAGGTGTTCGAATTACATAAAACATTTCTTTCACTCCACTTTCAAATATTGATCGAAAATACCTCGGTATCAACAACCGGCCAATGGCTGAAATAAAAAGGGTACAAGAGAAACCAGTCGCTGATAAATAAAATCCAACTAAGTTTGTAAAACTAAATTGTAAGCCTCTGATTCTGTACGTCAAAATAGTTCTACCAAAAGTCCCCCAAAAGATAA